AACAGATGCCTATTGACGGATGGTATACATATGAAACTTTTTAGTTTCTTCCTTTAAAAAATATAAAAATAAACATGAAGTATAGTTTACCCCGTTATAACGGATCTGTCGGTCCGATCCGTTATAGTAAATTTCTACTTCCGTATTACATAACAATAATAAAAATATTGAATTGATCGGGAGTACTACTCCGCTGTAATGTTTCGCTGTAATTATGAATCCGCTGCAAAGAAGTCCGCTGTATCGAAATAATTTTATTACGTATCATTTTGATATGCTCTTAAATCATAGTAAATTTTACTTTAAAAGGAAAAAATCAAATTTGTATGCACTGTACGTAGCATTGATGCATTCAAAGTACGCTTTTGTACAAATGACATAATCTTTGCGTAATTATTTAACATGCGTACGTAGTAACCTTATAAGTTGTAATAGCACTTACGTACTTATCATCTTTATTGATTTGGAATCGAACTTAAGATGCACAGTGGCGTTGTTACTGCGATGTGATTGTTAATTTTTCTAATAACAATATCATATCATTATTATATTTCCAATTATGGATATGGCGGTCACATGACCTGTAATTTTAAAGCTCCCTACAATTTGTAACTAATACGTATAATAATTAATACAATAACTACATTTGGGAATTAGCATATATATATTATATATAAAATACTGTATATAGTAATATTTAAATATTTCTTTTATACATATCTTTCATTTCATTGGGATATCTACTCTATCTATTAATAATGCATCTACCATAATTTATCATCGATTATTAGTAAGCACACTATATGAAAAAATTCTTTAATATCGAATATCATTTTCTGCACTTTTAATAATTTATCATATGATCGAATAACGTCTATATATTGTTATAGGTGCACAAATATGTCGTAATTCAGTTACAACAATTACAACAATTATAATAATTACGTCAGCCGAATTTTTAATATTAAATTCTGGGACTCGTGAAATTCTGCAATATTTATTATTATTTTTTAAAAATCCCATAAATGTTTCCATCATTTTACGGGTTCCAGCACTGTCATCAGTACCCATGTCTACAAAATCACCACTTGGAGAATATTGTGTCTAAAAAGGATTACCGTACCTGTATATAATAATAACGTCTAACCTATTTATATATAAATATCCGGGATACGTGTACAGTATTACAGTAATAGAGTCTAATCAACTGCCAATCGGAGTTATTGAATTTTTAATCATGCTCAGCGGTAAGTTACAGAGTTACAGTACCATATTCATATCACTGCAGACGGAATATAAACTCCTCCTCCTATTTTTATTCTCCGATTGGTGGGAGATCGAACGTTAGGTAAGGCAAGGTTATTATCATAGGTAGACTTTCATGTGACTGTTTAATTTACGTCTACCAAAGCATGATTCAATAAACGAACCTTCACTTTTTATTAATCACGTATTCTAAATAGTATTTCTACTAGTGACGCTTTATATTTACTCATATTTATTCAAACCTACTTAACGAGCCTGACTTCTCCGTATTAGTATTAAAATTATTTAATAATTTAAATAATATTCGACGGCCTTAATGTTCGTCCATGAACATTTTTAATGGTATGTTTATGATGGCGTAATGTCGTCAAACATTATTCCACAGATATTATATTATCAATATACTGTAGGAACCGCGAAATTATAGATATTCTACAGTATTCATAGCAGCCCATAGAATGCCTACTACATACATAAAGCGAAACATAAATTAGTTATCCTGTCAATAGATTTCAGTCAGCTAATGTTTAGATTAGAATCACGGAATCACGTGAATTACACATCATTCTCACCAATCCCATTCTCATGTTGATTTTTCATTCATGCACATAATAATTAAAGATTGTCCTTTATGTACAAATATAGTGATTAGAAATTATATTCACGTAGAATTCGTACTATAGACGTGGTGAGGTGCTTTATTTTTAGTAAACTTTCATTAGTAAAATCATACATTACAATAGTAACGAAAAAATTCATGTAGCATAGTTTAATTTTAGATATATAATTTCGAATCGGCCGAAAAAAAATTTTTTTTCATGTCTATTCAAGACCTGAAACGGTACTCCTAAAACCCAGAATTGAACTAAAATTATTCTTATTAATCAAGTTAAAAATGTTAAACATGTACAATGAATTTCAATTTGCTTACTACTATTAATATTTTGCCTACAGCACTATTAAAATGTGTATTTGCTTTTAATGCATGCATCTAGTCTCAAAGATATTTTATAAACTTCATGCATATGAAACGCTTATCCTTTCGAACAAACATTTACATTGGTATATGGTCACAAGCGAATTCGTTTTATTGCATTGCTTTTTGTAGTATGGTCAGACCTCTTTAAGGATAATATAAGTTTATAACCGGGAATAAGGCTAAATTTTGAAATTACACTCTGAGGTTTAGCAAATTACGGCTCAATCAAAGTGATAAATTCAGAAATTAATGACTACATTAGGAAGGCATAATCATATTAATATAGTAATCAAAGACGCATGTTTACGGGCATACCTATTATTTATGTATTTGGAATTTGTAAACCTCATTTAAATCACTTAATTATTATCAATCACTTTGTTAATTACTTGCACAGGTTGAATCAATGAATATCGGGTGCATACCGGGAGACAAGTTTCCTGATATGTACCCGTTAGTCTGCCATAGATCCGTCAAATGCCTGCTGAATATCATCAGCATATTTGTATATTGCTGTATTGGTAAGATATCGGGAGGTAGATCGATATCAGCAACATAACAGCAAAATATTGAGATACCCCGATATCTCACTTTTAAACCCAGAATACTAAGAGTAAGATATCAGAGTATCCCAATATTGTGTTGTTATGTTACCGATATCGATCTACCTCCTGATATCTTACAAATATGCTGCGGATCTATGGTAGGCTAACGGGCATATACTATATCCTTTCGGGATAATTTGCCATTAAAGACCCTAAGACTTTAGCCTCCGGTTAGCCTAGTTTCCTAGGGGGGCATTTATCCTTGTAGTAAACCTAACAGAATGGTACATGTCTCATACATGTATTCACCTGTATGTTTGGTAACTTTTACTAATTAGTACTTGTACTGCCACTACTGGATTCATATCTCAAGCTATCTTTTCAGATACTGCCATAACCTGATCCATATCTCAAGCCACAACCTTCCTAATTAGTTTTCTATTATGTACTCCTTGCCCTTGCAAGGTTTACAAAAACCTCAGTACTCACATTTCAACTTTCTTTTTTTCTAGATTTCTTACTGGTCTCTTTTTTACTTTTAGCTAGCAACCTGGAAGAGTCAGTCTACCTAGGCTTTAGGTGTTTCATGGTCTCCTTTCTCTTGGAGCACAAGTTCTTTTTCTCTAGTGGCAAGTTAGCAGTTTAGCTAGTGTGTTCCTACTTAAGGACCTAGTTGCTTGGTTCTTTGATCTTAGTCTTTAGTTCCAAACTCAGTCTTCTTATAGTACCATCAAAAATCACTGCTACTTCCCAACTCAGGGCTTGCCAAATAGGTTTTTTGTTATTCTGGTTTTTTGAATTTATTAAATTAGAGCTCTTATTCTAAATAGTGTAACCAAGGTTATAGATTAAAATCCAACTAATTATGATAGCTGTTAACTATATTAAAGGGCTATTTTTCGAAAATGTTATCCATAGAATTCAAACTCTAAACCTGCTATTTGGAATACAATAACTCTACTACTTCTAGTGATACAAATCAAAAATCGAAAAATCGATTAGTTGTCAACTAATCGATAAATCGAATGAAAAATTTTGAAAAAA